TGGGTTGTTAACCATGAACAACCCAGAAAGTGAAGCTGTGGTTTGTTGTCAGGTTGTGAATGTTTGGTCCTTTCCATAATAGTTTGTTGTTATATGCAAGGTATTTTTCATATAGTGTTTTACCAGGCTATACAGGAAGTGAGCAAGAGTAATTAAAAAAAATCTGCCACTATACCTGCTAGTATTCCAGAACTGCAGAAACATTTAAGATACAGTGAGGGAACAGGTTCAGGAGGAAGAATTCAAGCAATCAAGGAATTGAAAAAAACAAATTTGTGTGATTCTCTGGCAAACAAATCATGGGTAAACGCTGGGTAAATCAACAACCTGTACTCTGGGTTGTCATTATGCAAGAACTGGGTCATACTCTTGTTTTTCCTATATTGTGTCTCATTTTGCAAATGATGCCTAGCAAGGTAGCTGTAGTTTCACTCGTGAGAATTGAGTGAAAATAAAAAATTAAAATTTGTTTGGAAAGGTAACAAATTTAGACTTCTTTGAAAACCTGGCTTACAGCAAAAGGAGGGATAAAGCTGGAGTTGAGGATAACTAGAAATTCCATCAAACATCTGGTTCCTATTTCAGGTTCTCATTAGAGGCTGAATCAAAGTGACAACCATGCAATAGTAGCCTATACAAACTGACAAGTGAACCTGGAGGGCTGTACTAAGAATTGAGGTTCATTGCAGCTTCCATGGGGCAGAAGGGCAGAAGCTTCTGGTTTTAGCCACTTAAGTAAAAGTCAAACTCATATACCCAGGATGATTGGTTGAATCAACAGACCCATTCCCCCAGAGAAAATGAAATTAAATGCTCAAATCTTTGCCATCTTCCTGAAATTGAAATTTTCATGACTAAATGAACAAGACATGGAAAAAAAGGAAATTTCAAAAACTTTTGAAATCTCAAAAACTGCTGAGATTTTTCTGCTTTATTTTTCAATTTCATCACCCAACATGTCTCTTCTGACTTTCGATAGTGCTCATGCAAGGATCAAATGAATGTTGCTACTGAAAACCAATCTCACAGGCTCTGATTCATCAAACCTAAAGAATTAGTAATTTGCTCAAGATTGCCACTTAGACTCATTCCCCGTATATTGGGCCAGTACTAACGAAAATAAAAAACAAAACTGGGTTATTGGAAATGAGGCAGTGTGTTGGTTCTATTGCCTGGTTGCTCCCATTGTAAGCAGGAGCAGCTAAAGAAACTGCAGACTATCCCTTTGTATTTTGGTTAGGATTATATACAAACCCAGCTTGTTTCTAGACGAAAGAACACCAAGAACACAACATAGGTGGTTTTTCTTATCAACATAAGAGAGGCAAGTCAAAGTTCTGGGTTCACAGATAGCACTAACCAAACCATAAATGGAAGATCTGTGTGTTCAGTTGCTCCTCTTTGCCATGTGAGCAAGCAGGCAGTATACCTGATAAGCCAAAAAAAAAAAAAAAATTACAATTTTTGGGTTTATCCAGACTGTTTTGTTGCTGTTGAAATCTAGGATTGGAAGATTTAATTGAAAAGCTAGCATTATATCATGGAGCAAGTCTTAGTGTGTGTGCATGTTAAAGAAGTATGCCAATTATGGATCCCTACCATGTGTTTCTGTATGACTGAGGTGATTAAAAATGCTCTTAGCATATACAATGATGTTTCTTAGCTGTATCTATGACTTGGATAGCTACACTTAAAATGGCATGTGTTAATTGGTGTGTTCTAAAACTTAAAGTTTTAATTAGAAATCATTTCCTTGACTGTTAAATTCTGGGATTCAAGACTCTTGAAAGCTTTCCTGCTGTGAAATTTGCAAGGAGATGTCAACTGTCCCCAGATTTCATGGGTGGATCCTAAAAGTGCCTTTTCTTTCTATTGTTTAATGTAAAAAGATGAAACTACTTATGGCTTTCCTCTCTAATAGAAACAATTTGGGGTTGGCTTTGGTTTTTAACTCTGGGTTGTTAAACTTTGGCAACATAATACAAAACGTAATGGGAAAATAATGTTCACTTCCAATAATAACGAATAGCAAAATGATAAATTAATTTACACTTTTCTCCTTCAGAATTTGTGAAAATAAAGAAAACAAATCTGCATGAAGCTTGCAACAAAGATATGATTTAAATGTAATTAAAAGTCTGAAACACAATCAATTAAAAATAAATATTTTCATCAGTTGAGAGCCCAGATATGATCCAACACGAATAATAGTTTAGAACTTCATAGATTCACCTTTTGGAATTTGGGTGCAATCCAAACAGAGTCTTAAGACTGAGACATACATTTGCCTGATGCAATGGATTTCAAATCTAGTTCTCACTTGTCAAAATCCAGGCTGAAGAACTCTCTAATTAGATTTTTATTATGTCAGTCTAACTGCTGACAATCATAACTGGTCAATGGTTTTAGAGAGGGGTCTGCATCATTAATCACAGGATGATTGGAAATTTGAGGAAATCCGGACCTGGAGTTTCTTAATTGGATTGTTGATGTCAGCAGTTTCAGTTGATGGTAAATCATCCAATGTTTGGATGTAAAAGAGTCATAAAAGTAATTGTTTGGCTATAAGAGCATGCCTGTTTGAATTTTTCCCCTTTTTTGGTGGTGGGTTGTTCAGTGGCTGGGAGTGTTACACTGTTGCCAACAGGTACAAAGAAGCAGATGATTGTAATTAGAACTAAGGTTTAAATTAATTCAGTATTCCAAGTTAAATTTGCTAAAGGAGATTTCAAAGATGGAACTTTAGATGTGAATCTCTGATGCTAGAATTACAGGATTTTAGAGGTATGAGGAACAACTGTATCTTAACTGCTTATTACCTTGCTCTGATGGAAATTCAATAATATTGTATACAGTAAAGAAATCCAAGAAGTATACTCTCAAATCATATTCTATTCTTTAGCTCCCGTGTTTTGGAATTGATTCATTCCCTATGTTCATATACAATGCTAAAACATGATCTGATCCTGCTTTAATATCCTGCTTGGTAATCATGGCTTGTAGAAATCATAGGTTCTCTTATTTTGATGAAACGGAGGGTTGCAGTGTATTGCAAACAATGACTACTGGAAACTTTAAATTTTCTCCTCTTATGTGCAAAGAGGAAGCTGAGAATGTGTAAGCCTGAGGCTTACCATTCCATATCACTAAATCATAGTTTAGTGAAGGATCCAAATGCAGGTAATTATTTCCATGTAGTTTACTTTAATTCGGAGCTTTCTAGAAGCATCTGGCTGGCCACTGTTGAAAAATTAGATGAGATGGTTCTGGATTGTGCTGGATTAGAGTGCTGGATTAGATGGTTCTTTGGTGCAATGTAGGTGAACTCATCTAGTGTGTATCTGTTCCTTGATAGTTGCACAAATAATGTAACTTCTAGAATGAAGTGTGGAATGTTTATTATGTGACAGTTAGTTGCTTTATAGATAGCATCATGTATGCATGACTCCAGGTGCAGACTATGGTTTTCCATATTGGACTCTTATCTTGCAATAAATGCTAAATGGGGCAAATTTTGTCTGAATCCATCTGAGATGTATCTGTGCTGTAAACACCAAACTAGATGGTGTTATTTGTTTGCTTGTTTCTGTAGACCATAGGTTTGTATTCACAGTTGTACTTCAGCCAGCAGCATGGACAATATTGGTGAATTGAATTTCTCCTTACTCCAGTACGCCTCTGCTCAGAAACTTTTCCAGAGCTTTGGAGGATTTTCCAGAGCAGATTTGGGGACATGCAGAGAGCTACACAGAGAGGAAGGGAAGGGAAAATCCTACTGTACAAGACTTTGATTTAGTCTATGGGATTATGGTCTGTTCCAGGGCTGGGTGACACACATCTCATGCTGCCACCAGGCAGTCTGTGGCATCCTAATGAATTTAGTAGTGGCACCTACACGCGCGCATGCACGCACACACACAGGCCTCATTAGCAGTAGAGAATGCTAAAAGGGTCAAATTTAGCTAGTGCACTAGGTGCGCTAAAGTGCACTCCGTAGTACTAAAGTGGCCATAAAAAGTACAATTGTTTTTCTGGGCTTCTTATTGTGCTCTGTAGAGGGCAAGATGTCCAGGGCACAAAAATGGTCTCCAGGCTCCACGCAGCTGCCCACCGTGGGTAATTTTAAATCCTGTTGATAAATGAGCCATCCTATATTCCCTGCAGTACCTGAATTTTCTTTTAAGACTTTTGTAGCAGGGGGATGTTCCTTTGATAATACTGCGATCAGAACTTAAGCTGAGCCTTCTGAAGTGAAAATGAGAGACTTTTCTCATAAACCTGTTGTACCCATAGTTATATTTTAAGTGTAATGATCTGTAGAGGTATAGAAAAAAAACACAAAGGAAAGAGAAGCGTTTTCATAATTTTTCTGATTAACTGCTAAGGTAATCAATTTAAATTACCTTGTAACACATGAACAATTTTATTCAGTTTCATTTTTGCTGGTTTTGATTTAGTTAAATCCTTTCAGAATCTTATTCCCCATATATGTCAACCTCCTTTTGATCCATCACTAACTTGAGTATTAATCTTGTGTAGTCTGTTAGACCCAGCTTCCTTAATTCTTTCTTTAATGATAGATTCAGTAGTCTTTTATAATTTTAGTTAATTACTTCTATTCCACATGGAGATTGTTTTTTTTAATGTAAGAGTAAGCAATATGAAAATACCTATCTGCATGATCAGTTCTGATATTTTTTTTCCTACATACACCTTCACTGGAATCACACTACAATATCTTCTCAGTGAAAAGAAATATTATACAGGAGGTACTCCATTTTATCTTAAGTTCTTAATTTATTTTAACTTAAATTCTTCCATGAGTGAAAAAGAACATGTCACCTAGTTCTGTGCAAAGAACATGGCCAAATTTGAAGTACCTGCTTGCTTAAAGTTTTTATATTTGTTAAAAGATGGATTTAAAAAATCCCCTTGTTCCATAGAATGCTTTTAATCATTTATGCGAACCTGTATAAGACAGCATTTGTATCCTTTTAAAGATCTCAGACATTTCATGGCTACCTTGAAGATATCATCAACTATCGCTGGGAACTGGAAGAAGGAAAGCCCAACCCCTTACGAGAATCTACTTTCCAGGACCTGCCCTTACGCACCCGTGTGGAAATACTGCATCGTCTTTGTGATTACCGACTTGATGCTGATGATGTCTTTGACCTGCTCAAGGTGTGTTGAAAGATGACAGATCTTGGATGCAAAACACAGAAAGAAATTATACATGTTTTCCACCAAGAAGGCAGCACACTGTAGTCATAGTTAGCTCCTGTGTTAAGCACATTTAAAGGGTAGTATCATTTTATGGGTTATATTAAGCTTTTATAGTCTCCCAGGTTGGAGAATAAAAAGTTCTTCTTTGTGGTCTCTGTGCATCATACATGCAGGCTTCAGCACCAGCACAAGGCCTAGATCTGAAGAAACTTCTCAGCTTAGAGTCACAGAGTGGGCAGGAGCCCTTTGCTCCTTCCAGCTCCTGGCTATAAGAAGTGGGGACTTCTGCCCAGTCCCTCAGCTTCTTTTTGACCACACTTCACCTATATTAGAAATGGCTTCAATCTGCACTTGAAATTTCAAGTACTTTGTTTCCTTCTTCTCTTAAAAATAATATTTAAATCTCCATATCATTTCCCCCTCCTTCTTTCAATCCTCCTTTTCCTGTGATGGCCCCCAATCTGGCCTTCCACAACTGCACCTCATGTGCAGCCCACCTGCCCATGGCAGATGGCCACTCCCTATGCCTCAGCAAGGGATATGTGCTCGAAACCTGCCCACACTGTCAGGCCTCAAGAAACAGACTTGTTGGCATTGGGCAGATCGCCTCAAATAGGCACTCTGGCAGCGAGCCCTCCAAACTGGACATGCAAAGGCCCTCCACCTCTATGGGCAGTGAGACCATGAAGCCAGGGAAGAGGCCCAGGAAAATGGCCGCTACCTTGACCAAGAAGAGACCTGTGAGGGCCAAGACCACTGTCTCTCATAAAAAAGCCATTGCACAGTCCTTGCCAACAGCTGGCTTCTCAGTCTGTGTCAATGACCTGCTACACTGGACTCCTGGGCCGCACTGACTGGGACCCCTGCTGTCCCTCAGATGGAACTACTGGGCCCTTGTGCTTGCTTCTGGGCTAGAGACTCCTATCCACAAGTTTCCACCACTGACACCTGTGACCTCCAGGCAACACTCCCTCACTCCATCATACAATCCTCCAGTGAGCCTGCCAACCCCACTCTTCGACTGTGCCCAGGCTACCAGGGAACACCAGGACTTGCCCCACTCTCCCCTCCTTGATTGAGAGCATGACTCCACATGATCCCTGGCCTCCACCTACTCCAAAGAGCTGTTGAAGCTCCTGGACTACTCGATCAGCCCCCCTGCTGCTACTGTGCTCTGCTGGAGAGCTTGCCACAAGGTCACAGAGAATTCTTATTCCTTCACTGAAGACTTTGCTTCAGGCCACCGCTATTCTAGGTGAAATGCCCTGTGATGCCGGCTCCACAATGGCAGCTGCTGGTGGGAGCCTACCAGTCATATCGCATTATAAGACCTTTACTATCAAATCAGTCCCCTTACCTTCGTATCTCTAAATCTTCATAGCACTTTATTCCAATAGAATCCAGACATTTTGCTCTGCATCTAATGGTTTTCACAGCAAATACCGCAGCCCTCTGTATCACATATGGTTGGATGTTTGTAATAATTCAATTTCTCCTTTGAATCTCTATATTTCAGTTTCTTCAAAAGAGGATCTAAATAGCATTCTCTTATCTCTCTGTCTACATGCCACATACATCATGTCTCAAGTCCTCAATGGCTGATTCTCCACAAACACACAATCTATCTTCCGCTACCCAAGACAGCTCCCATGCTACCCCCCCCACTCCTCCTCTCCATTTTATCCTCACAAGAACCCTGTGAGGTAGGTTAGGCTGAGAGCGACTAGAGGGGACCATGGCTTGGTGGCTTTGCTTGCAGAAGGTCCTGGACTGGACCCCGGGCAACTCCAGGTAGGGTGGAGAACACTCACGCCTGCTATCCTGGAGCGCTAGTGCTGCCCATCGCTACCAGTTTTGCCTTACACCAGCATTGCACTGATGCCAAATCCCACTGCTGAGGATTGCAAGCCGCTTCTGATGCCCACTGCCAGCCTCAAGCTCATGTGTTCTCTGGATGTTTGACTCACGCTGACATCACTCACACCTTGTGCTGGCAATCAGCCATGATGCCATCTCATGGCCAGCCAATGCTGTTCTGAGTCCTGATTGCCATCCCCTTTCTGCCAGCCTTGCTGCGAACAGTGCAACAGTTCTGGAAGTCCCCTGCTGCCATGCTGTCCACCTTGCGTATGATTGAATCCACCTACCAGGTGGCAGACAATACCATTCCTCCATCAGCACCCTAGACTTAACTCCGTGATAGTAGAGTCAATGCAGGGGACCTCTCAATGAGAACACATTGTGCCAGTTGACTGAGAAGGCTGATGCCTTGATGGCCTTGCCGGGTGTGTCTGCTAGGCTTGCTAGGACTCCCAAGCCACCATGGCCAGGTATCAGCTCTTCCTGTGAGAGAAGATGGGGTCCATGGCTCCAGCTGACCTCCAAGACACTGCCCGCCTGGTATACTCAGGCAGTATACTCAGAGGCAGCAAAACTGGCCAGACATCAGATCAAGGCAGCTAGATACCAAGTCAACTGCAACAGAAGAGCGATGATGCGTGCAGTGGCCATCTTCCACCATGCATGACTGCACTCCACAGGCCTCCCCCAAGAAATGCAGGTGTGCACTAAGGGCATGTCCTTTGATAGAGAGGGACTGTTCAGTGTCCACAGACAGGAAGGTGGACTCTTTTCAGAAAGCCTGGACCACAGCCAGTTGCATGGGATTCAGTCATCAGCTGAAATAGCATTAGTGGACAGGGCCTCACTGGGCACCAACCACCACCCCTTCCCATAGTACCCATTCAGGACACAGGCAGTGCCTCCTTTCAGGAGGCACAATGCCCAGCCCTGCTAGAAGCTCCCACCCAAATGCCAAGAGCCCGGGTGCAGGTGCTGAGGGCCCTGTCCAAGCAGCACCCCTCGACCCACCCCACCTGCCCCCACCAGCTTCACTGGACACCTAGCCCAGTTCCTCCCAGCATGGGAGGCAATAATGTCCAACTCTTGGGGCTGTATATAGTGCAACAAGGTTACAGGATTGAATTTGATGCCCTCCCATCCCTCAGCCATATTAGGATCACCCTGCTCTCACAGGTACTGCTGGTGGAGGTGGAGGCCCTGTTGTCCAAAGGAGCCATAGATAAGGTCTCTGCAGTCCTACATATGGGTTTCTCTTCTGCTACTTTACTGTGTCTACATGGAACAGAGGCCTCAGACTGATCCTCAGCCTTAAATGTACCAACAAGTTCATTACATCCAGGAGGTTCAAAATGACCTCCCTGCAAGGCATCATCTCCCTCCTACAGCAAGGAGCCTCTATCGACCTGAGGGACACCTGTTTCCATATCTTGGTCAGCCATACCTATAGCTAAGCTGTAGAAGTTTCTTCTGATCTGAAGCCCATATGTGTGAATGCACAGATGACTATTCAAATGACAAACACCTCGCATAAACAAGGTGTATAAAACTGGTTTTGCTCTCTGGTTCCTTTCCTATTTTGATTTATTTGATGACTCACCTGATAGATTTTTTTCACTGAATCTGCTCTATTCTGAAAGGTTTTTATATTTGGACATTGCATTGTTTAAAGAAAGATTCTTTGAGGTTGTGAATATGTTGAGAAAGTGTGTAGGTTTTAGTGGGTGAATCAGTCAGGTGAGATAATCTGGGCTTGCCACACTCTTATGATTCTAAGCAAAAAAGAATTATATAGTATTTATTAAAAGCTTTAGAGTTATTTTTATGGAATTTTATGCAGCATGTTAGCAAAGCAAATGTAAATTATGTATGTCATAGGTAATGATAAAATTTTATTTTGATTTTAGAAGACTTAGTCCTTACTGTCTTGGTAAATGAACCCTAATATGCATATGTCATGAAAACCTTTTGACTGTCAAAATGGTTCATAATATTGCTAATATCAGCTCTGAAGTGTGACTGGTTAAAAGGAAATAAATGTTTTAATGATTGTAATATTAATGTAGCTCATAACAATTTCTGTAGTTCCCAAGATGTGAATCTTAGCAATTGTTAAGGAGATTAGCGCTACAAGATACTTGTCTGCTTCACTGCTGTGTACATCTTCTAGTCAATGTTTTGGCATTGGTGAGTTTGCTTCCAGATGGCTGTTTGTGGTGAAGTGTCAGTTTCTAAACTCAAAGAGCAGAATTTTCATAGAAATGTGAGATAGGTGGTAATACTTGCCTCATGATGTTGTAAGAGACTACAGATTAGTGATAATCTGAGTTTTGGGGGATAGTCTAGTAGTATGGGGTGCCACCGGTGGTAGTCTGAGATACTGTTGAAATCCTTTTGAAAAACATGAACTTGATCTTGGTCAATTTATCAGTAAGCATCTTTGACCAAGAACAGTAGGAATCTGGTCTTGTAGTGAGATTATTGGCTCTGTCACCGAAAAATAAAATGACAAGGATGACCAGCTTTGTATTGCCTTTATCCATGCATAATACCTTTATGGAAATAATTCCCTGAACAGTCTTATATTGGTAATCATTATATCAGAAAGTCCCTTTCATAGTTGCTTGAAGCAAAAAGTTGAGAAGGTATGGTTTCTCTTGCTATACAGAACTGTGGTAAGAGTTAAGCAGGTATAAGTAAGATGCACCTGCCTACCATTGAAGCTAACCATGGCTTCTGCAGAACTTTAGACTTCTGCCACTTGAAAGGGGAGCACATCTGCTCTTTTACTAATATAGGAGACCACTTTAGGTTGGGCATCGGCAAGCATTACTTAGCCTTTCTCATGAATATATTTATACCCCATAAATCTCAGTGTGAAATTACACAACCACTTTTTTGGCAGACAGAGGTGTGAATACCTATAGTAGCTCCACACAATACATGCATGTTTTTAATTGGTTTTAAAAATAGGGTAACAACACTAGGAAACAGAAAAATTCTGGGCCAGCAAAAGTGGGATATATCAATTAAATGCTTTCTGCTAAATTTCACATACAATTTTGTCGTACTACATAGAATGGTACCTGGTAATACTTGTCCATCTTTGTCAGCAGCAGCATTTGTTAGAAGCAGTATACTAAAATGAAAAGAACATGACCATGAAAAACTTGGATTCAGCTGAGAAAGAACATCTTATTCTTTTAGCTGCCTTTCAACTGTTGCCAATTTATGTGTGCACTTTCAAATGCAGGGTTTGGATGCAGATAGCCTCCGGGTGGAACCATTGGGTGAGGATAGCAATGGTGCCCTCTACTGGTATTTCTATGGCACTCGGCTCTATAAAGAGGAACCCACAAAATCAAATGGAGAGTTGTCTTCTGACAGGTACAAATATCTTTTTGTTAACAGGGACACAATGAATACAAATATTAGACAGGAACAAATTCAAGAAGGAAACAGTGCTTAGCTATCTCCCCAAGAACTACACAATCAGCAGTTTACTAATTTCCTGATCGCGAATGCCACCATTTTTCATTTATAAATAGAATACACTTTTTTGGAGTAATTTACTGTTTTCTTTCTGTTTGCCTCACTAACCCTGTGAATTAGGCCACTGCTATTTCTCTGTTACAAGTCGGGAACTGAAGTAATACAGTGACTATGTAAAAGCCACACAATGATTCCATGACAGAGATGGAAATTAAACCCATGTGTCCTAAATGTTATACCACAGCTGTTCTTTAATAGGGCAGCTAAATCCAAGAATGGCCTTCCATAGGACTTAAGGCTTCTGTGACCTGAGGTGGAAGTGTCCACCTATACCAGGGAAACAGATCTTTTCAGATAACAAGAAATTGTACCTGCTGTTTAATTAATTTCCCACCAAATAGCTGTGCCCTTTTGCCTCCCATTATCTTCTTTGGCGCTAATCCCTCCTAACTTGGCTGGCAGCAGCTGTTCCAATACATCTTACTGTCACTGCTCTCTCCTTACCTCCACGCTCTTGCCAAGTGTTGCTATCATGTTCTGTAGTTATTCTTTAACTTTTCAATGTGTTCCAGGGGATGTGGGACACAGACAAGCGCTCCCAGTGTTCCTGGAAAAATAGTAAAAAGACGAGGGCGTCCTCCAAAACGGAAAAAATTGCTGGAGGAGAATCTGTTGAGGTAAAGAAATATTAAGCTTGGAATGTTAACCTAATGTTACCCTAGTAAGCAAATGAATTATTTGTTTAGTGTCAATGTACATAAATCCTTTGCAGAGTAGAGGAGGTTGCAGTCTAAATGCTGACAGTGGTGAAAACTGAGGATGTGTGCAAAAACCAAATGGCAAGGTTAACAAGGGATGAATGTGAGCATGTGAGTTATGAAGGGTGTCTTGTATCCTAACAGAGCTTTCTAGTTACAAGCAATAATTCTCCTTGCATCTGTTGCAATATCAACCGCAACTTTTAGTAGAACATTTCATTTATTTCATTTTAACCTGCCCAATAACTGAAGCTCTCTGGGTGGTTAACAACAATTTATACAATACAGTAAAATACAGTACAATAAAGCAGTATAGCATTTCAGTACAAAATTTAAAACAGTATTTTAAAAAACCAGAGCAACTACAACAAATTCAGGTGTTTTTCCTGTAAAGCAGTGTCTCTCGCACTGCAGTTCTATCCTTCCTTAAAAGGTCCCTGGAGGTTGGGAGTACGTGGAATGGATTGCTCTTGATGGAACTGCATCTTTCCCCCAAAGCAATGCCTTTCAAATTGCAGACCCAGCCTTCCACATGAAGTATTTGGGGGTGGGAATGAATGCAATGGCTCGTATTTGATGTAACAGCATCTCTCTCTCCCAAAATACTGCTAACTTGGTCAACTGTATGCAATATTTATATTAAAAAGAAGCAGTCTGAATAAAACAGACAGTGTAGTAGTAACCTAATTTTGAGTGCTCCTTATAGCCATTTCCAAATAATACCAGAGATGCTAACCTTTTTACACTGATTTCAATATGACCCAAGTGCAACAAACTTAGTCCAAATCCAAACTATGCTGTTCTATCCTCAGTTCATACTTGAGAACTAAAAGATTTCTGATTGCCGCCTAACAGTGGAATAGTACCTCCCACTTTCACTCAGCAAAGCCTAGTCTTTTTGGTTTTACAAGGAACAAGAAGCAATGAAGCAGGGAGAAAGGTAAGAAAGCAAACAGCAGAAGTCTCAAAGGAAATCTGACCAGACAAAGATGACAGTAATGGTACATAATCAATTCTTCTGTGTGACCACTTTATCCCTTAGGGTGGTGGCCTACTGAGCCTTTCTGAGTAGTTTAGGGTGTTCTTCAGTCTGCTCCCCAGTGTCTTACTGTGGCTGGTTCAAGCACAGTCCTAAAGTATATGGGACAAGTCCCTCTATGAGGGCAAAAGGTAGACAGAGCTCAGAAGCACAGTTTTAGCATTCAAGCAGAGAGCAGTTTTAAGCATGGTTTGAGGCTGAACCAAACTCAGCCACAGGCAAATATACCAATACAAACACAATCCAAGCAGCAGAGTCTAATCAAGAGTCTAGAGGTCAGCAATACAAGACCAGTCAAACAGAGAAGCACAGTACTGGGAACTTAAACTCAGACATTATTTTGACTCCTAGTGATTGAAACTGAAGAACCTTCAGTTTGAACCTTCAAAACCCCACTCAAAGCATAGCTGTAGGTCATTAGTGTCACCTGAGGAAAGGTCTATTCACAAGCAGGTCTTGCTCACAAAGATGTCTTTACTCATGAGGATTCACTATTCTGTCAGCACATGAAGCTTTGACTTTTTGATGTCTGCATTCCTGCCAGCCAAATGGCTACTCAGCATTTGTCTCTTAGTCTGTGGTAAGAGTTGGGCCTACAGACGATTCTTCCAAGAGCCCAGGATCCCATGTAGAGGTCCCCAGGCAAAGGAAGCTCCTCTGTGACACTGTGCTGGGTGGACTCTTAGTCATTCTCTGTAGAGGAGTCCACTAGTGGGAGCAATGACACAGCAGTTAAAGAATGTGGACATGGTGCTTGGAGGAGTGTGACTTACTTAATGCACTACTTGGTGCAGGAGGTAATAAATGTGTTTGACAAAAAAGCAGTTGTAGCTGCTTTGAAATGCTAGAGTTTATACCTGGACCTGGAACTAAGACAACTTTTATCAGTAGACTTGAGTACACTAGATACTAGATGGGGAATTTCAGCCCTGTTGGTTTTACTGTTGCTCTTAGTGTTGGCCATTAAACATGTTTCTGAAAAATATTTTACCCTTTCTCTAAAAGTACACCAATTTGGTAGTAACATATCAAAAGAAAAAGAACCAGCAATGTAAGAATTAAATAGCAAGTTTTAATTTAATGGTAGTAATTCTGATGGAGAGAAATGACAACTTAGAAATGACACAAGAGAAAACTGTCTTGTGTACCTGTCAGGCATACTTCCACAAGTGATGGTGTTCTCAAAAGACCTTCTGCTGCAGATCATAATATCTGAACAGGTTGACAATGATGCAAACTGTTCTTTAGATAGCCAGAACCTAAGTCTTTAAAGGTTAAAACTGACACCTTAAATTTTCTCCAGATAACAATTGGTAACCAGTGCAGCTATTTCAATATTGGAGTAATATCTTGATTACTAACTTAACTGCTGCATTTAGCATCAACTGAAACTTTCAGATGTTCTTCCAGGATAGCTCCATATTGAGCACATTGCAGCAGTCTAACTGCAACATGGCCAAAGCATGCATTGCTGTTGCTAAATCAGCCCATCTCAGGAATGTTGCGGCTGGTATGCTACATGTAATTGCACAAACACAAATATACTCCTTCTCACCACTGCCAACTGAACATCCAGGAACAGTGCGTAATCAAAGAGTACTCCTAAGCTATGGATCCAGCCTTTCAAGGGAAATATGATTCCTTATATAAATACATTAAGTTACAGTCCCTGAGCCTGACTTTCTACTGAACAACAGCACTTCTGTCTTGCCTAGATTCCATCTCAGTTTGCTTACCCTCATCCAGTCCATTATCAAGGCCAGACAACATGCAGATGTCATAAAAACTCCCCCCTCAACGTGTTAGGTGACAAAGAGCAATAGATTTGGGTGTCATCTCACTCAAAAGCTCCCAGTGGCTTCATGTGGATTGTCATGAGCAGGTCTCTCCCTTCCTCTTTTCCTCTCCATCATACTCAGATGAAACTTTAGAAGCACGATCGTTTTATTAAAGCTTAACAGGTTACAAAGCAATATAAATCAAAGTAGCATTCTCCTTGAGATGTGGGAGAAACATCTGCCCATGTGAAGAGCTGGATCCAAACTGAAACTTCCCCTCCTTCCCTCCCTTTCAGAAAAGCTTCTGACTCCCCCCTCAACATGGATCCTGATGCTTGAGGGCTAGATGGTGGGAACACCAGGCACTTGTTAATTGGTCCATTCATTTTGCTTGTCATCTCCTGACAAGGTCAAGGAAATCTCTGTCAATTGTCTCTTCCAGCCCAGAACTGAAATGTCTGTCTCCTTTTCCAAGATAGGCTGGTTCTCATGCTCTACCTAAGAATCTTCACTATGTAATCTTGAAACAGTCATCTGTCAAAGTTTGTCCCTCAGCCTCCTCTGCAGAACCGGACAAATGTATCTGAGCAGACTATAATGTGCACGAGCTGGCTTCCTTCTCTGTATAGATATCAAATAACAAAGGGAACAAAATAGAATCTTGTGGGACAACAGAAGCCAAAGACTGAAGCTGTTGCAAAGCAATTTCTCAGTACCACTTTTTGGATACGACAGTTTAGAAAACACTGGAATCAGTGCAATTCATTGTCCCCCAAGGCCCAACCTTTCCAGGCAACATTGAAGGATATCATGGTTGATAGTACTGGAATGTGCTGAGAGGTTCAATAAAATTAATAGATCCACACTCCAGTTCCCAAGGTGGTGAAAGCAGTCATATTTCCATATCTCATTGAAAAGCCCAGTTTGAAATGGATGCGGATAATAGTATTATTCAGATCATCACTTCAACTATCTTAGCCAAAAAGTGTACATATAGTTATAAGCATATAGTTACTTAATTCTCTGGGTGAAGGGAAGGCTTCTTTAATAAAAAGTCTTATTACTGTCTCCTTTAAATGAGAGGGAGCAATTTCCCCTGAAAAGACATTAATCACCTTCCTTAACCATAGCAACATTTTTGTCTTGGCTGATTTAATCAACCAGGAAGGACAAAGGTCAAGTAAGCAGGTGGCAGCCCTCTCTGCAACAGACACCCTGCTCACATCCTTGGGATCTTAAAGCTGAAGGAAATCCAACATGACTGGACAAGCAGTTGCCAAAGTAATAACAATTTGCCTTTTCTCAATATTGGAATCCAAATCAAGATGAATCTGAGCAATTTGAACAACAAAACATGAAGTAAGTGCTCACATGGAGCCACAAGTTGCTCCAGTTCCGCTCCTCCAGGATCCTGATGACAAAGGCCCTGCACAGTATGGAAAAACGGTATTGGTCTGTTTTCTGCAGATAAGATAGTGGCAGCAAAGTAAGTGTTGCTCTTTTTGCTATGGAGTAGCTTGCCATTGAACTTGTTTAGTATTATTTGTCCTATGTTTTTCTTCAGTGGTACTCCAGGCATCATCCCTCCTGTTTCACTAGTCTCAAATCCTTGTTAAACTGGGAAGTAGATGACACCCCTATGCCAACAAATATGGAGAGCAAGGCAATGTCCCACATTCTGGGAATGCCTAATGGACATTCCAGTCACCAAGAAAGGAAATGCAGAAGAGTGCAGGAACCATAGAACCTTTGCATTAGTTTCCTGTGCAGGCAAATGATGCTCTGAGTGATGCAACAATGAAGACTTCTCTATATGGGGTGAGAAATAAAGAGGCACTAGAGATCATGTTACAAATATATGTTGGGGTACACCAAAGAATTTCAGAAAAAGAGCAGTCTATGCTTTATAAACTACAGCAAAGCCTACTGACGGAGCTGAAACAAATGATTTGCCTGATATGTAACCTGTATCATGGACAAGAAGCTATAGTTAGGACAGAACATGGAGAAACAGTTTCCAATGGGAAAAGGTGTCAGATAGGGATTTATTTTATCTCCTTATTTGTTCAACGTGTATGCAGAACATATAAGGAAAATTGGATTACAATTAGAGAAAGGAGTGAAAATTAGCAGAAGACACATAAATAACTTAAAATATGAAGCTGACTCCATACTGCTGGCAGAAAGAAGCAATGACTTGAAATAACTCTTGATGAAAGTGACAGAAGAAAGTGCAAAAGCAGAACTGCAGCGGAACGTTAAGAGAACAAATATCAGGACCACAGAATTACAGAACTTTGCTCTTTACAATGAAAAAATTGAAGTTGTGAAAGATTTTACATACCTTGGCTCGGTCATCAATTCCAAGGGAGACTGCAGCTAAGAAATCCCTAGAAGACTGAGACTTGGAAGGGTAGCAATGAAGGAACTAGAAAAGGTTATCAAATGTAAGGACGTTTCACTATAGACCAAGGCCAAGAGCATCCAGACTCGCTTATCTTCAAACAAAATGCATGGATGTGAAAGCTGGGCAGTAAAGAAAGCTGACAGGAAGAAAATCAATGCTGCTGGAGGAAAGCTTTGCCAATATCCTGGACTGACAGTCAGATGTGTGGGTCCTGGATCAAATAAAACCAGAGCTTTCCCTAGAAGCAAAAATGACAAAACTGAAGCTGTCATACTTCGGATACATCATGAGAAAGCAAGAATCACTGGGGGAGGATGATCATGCCAAGGAAAGTTGAAGACATAAGAAGAAAAAGAAAACCAAATATAAGATGGATTGACTCCATAAAGGAAGCCATAGCCTTGAAGTTAGAAGAGCCAAGCAAGGCAGTTGTGGACAAGTCATTTTGGAGGGCTTTCACTCATGGAGTTACCGTAAGTCAGAGATGACTTGAGGACACATAAGAGCATAGATGGGGTTGCACCAGAGGGAGAGGGCATGTAGGAGCACCATGGCCTCCTAGGCCACTTCTGTATTCCAGAGATCAGCCAGAGTGTCTATACTTCAATAGTGGGAAAAGGCACAGCTCCCCACCCCCCACCTTTCCTCAGCAATTCCCTGTGTTATGTGCTTGCTCAGCATCTTCATTCTCAATCAAATAAGAATAAGTGATGTATTCCCAGCAACTGACCTGGAAATGAAAAGACTTTAGGAAAGAGTTACTTTTGCTTAAATTGTGGTTTTCTTGGGCAGATAACATTAAAACAGGGAAGGATGGCCAGCAGGTTGTCCTCGTTTTCCTGGAATGGCCAGGTTGGAATCTTGCACCATATCTTCTGCTGCTGGTGATTTATTGACTTCCTCTAATTTATTGAATAGTTGCTCTCAGCTCCCTCCCATTTCTCCACTCTTCAAGAAATATTTCAAAAGCCTACTGGAATAGTATTAAAACTAGCTCCTAAAAATACTGAGTCTAAAAGGCCAGTGCGCACATTTAACTGAAAGCACACATGCACTCAGTGGGCCACCTCAACCTTCAGACCTTCCAAAGGGATAACCTTCCTTCTGTGTTCCCTTGCCAGCTGTGAGCCTACCGCCTCAGGTCACTGTTTTTCTTATAGCCTTGGGTCCAACCAATAGTCTAGTGTGATTGGGCCTGCTGGAAGATGTCAAGCTACTTCCCAGCTTCCCTAGGAAGCAGAGATTTTCTGGACAGCGAGATCCCTTGTTTAACTGCCACAAACAGCTAAGCAAGCAAGATGGCAAAAGTTCAGTTTGAAAAAGGGATGTTTGGAGGCACCAGTGCAATGTTCTGGTATTCCCCAAGGTATGATTTCATCTGTCATGTTGTTAAACATCTATGTGGAACTTCTAGGAAAGGTCAGTTGTTGGGCATTGAATATATTGTTACTCATGTGCTTGTGAGACCCAGCTTTCTATGTTTCATTTTAATACCAAGGAAGCTATTGGTCTTTTGAACTGGAAACTAGAAACAGCAAAGGACTGGAGAAACTGATGTTTATGAACTGAAATTTAATCTAGACAAGAAAGAGGTAGACTGTGAAGAAATGAACTCAACAACTATTCGGTCTGTTTTGACTAAAGCAGTGCTTCCCTTGATGAATAGCTTAGCAGTGCGGGGATTCTCCTGGATTCATACTTACACCTGAATGCCTGAACTGCAGTCAGAGTGCCTTTGCTCAATCTAGGCTGGTACACCTTTTTCTCAGGTTGAGCTGCATCTAGATTGGACTATTGCAGGGCATTCCACATGAGACAATGTTTGAGGAATTTTCAGAAATTTTGGTTAGTCCAGAATGCTGCAACAAAGATACATATTCATCCATGGATTCATATTACATTTATTTCGCAATGCATTGTATTGGCTACATCAGTTTCTGGGTGGAATTCCAAGTGTTGGTGATTACCTTTAAACCCTTAAATGGAATTTAACCTGAATATCTGAGGAACCACCTCCCCCCAGATTAAGATTCCTTAAGATTACTGTATGTCAGGAAGTCCCTTTTCTGTATCTCATGCAGGTACACAGTAGGGATAAAGGATAGGACTTAATCTGTGCCACATGAGTACTGTGGATAAGCTTGCCCCATTGTAGCAGGCTATTAATAAACAAAGTTCAATTCATTTTATTGAACAGTGTATTTTAACTGTTGTGTTCAATTACTTCTGTATTTTACTAATTGTGATTTTAATTTCTCTAAGTTGCCTTTATTAATATGTATGTATTGGAAAGATGGAGTATAAATCTTAATACATTTTTATAAAGTAACGTTGTGGGGTAATTTCTGAGGAAGCTCTGAGAGTTGCAGTAACAACTGAAGGCACTATTGGATAAAACGTGCTGGGAATAAAAGAGGCCGGGGAAACTCAGACTCTTCAGAGGGGAAGGGGGATGAGCTCTGGGAAATGGGGTTCCAGATTTCTAGATGGAAGAGGTGGGATCCTTATCTAGATGGAAGAGGTGGGAAGTCTGCCCTCTTCAGGTGGACCGTGAGAATAGCCACAGCCTATAACTGCCAGGAGGGGGCATGGTGCATGAGCCAGATTAACTCGGTGCAATTCTTGATCTCATGGCACAGCACTGGGAGAGAAAGGCTAGCCAGCTTGAGAGGCTGGCCTGTTTCCAGAGGGGAGGGGCCCAGGGATATTCAACAGAAAGTTATGGAGATAGTTTCTAGCTCCTGACAAAACTGATTATGTGGTTTCATTTTGGTCTGGCTTCAGGCCTTGGTTTGACACAGAAGCTGTCTTTATGAGCAACATGCACCAGAGAATTTTCTTGTGACAGGTAATTTATGACTTGCTGATTTACCTGGCTTTCTCAGCAGCTTTAGATGCTACCAACCATGGTATTTTTGGATAAACACTCTGGGCAGTGATAAGCACAGCATTTTCATAGCTCTGCTTCTGTCTAGACAACCAATTCTCGAAAGTGGTGCTCCGTCTATACTTTGTGCAGTGCAGCCACACTGGTTTCAACAGCATGAAAACATAAAGACTAATTATTTATTGTGAAAGGGTATTAAACCAAAAAGCTGTTTCATCAACTGCAAAGGCATACAGACATTTATATTTATGCATGCATGTGTGTGCACACACACAGTGAAATAAACCAATTTAGCAAAGGTGTTTATATTATATTTCATAACTTTTTCATATTGCCCTAAATAAGTTCTATAAGAGTAGGGCCCACTGAATTACCTGGGCCTAAGGAAGCACAAACACTAATTTCAGACTCGAAAGCATGCTAGTTTGTATAAATGTCCTGTAGCAGGGTCCTTTCTTTTTCCTGTTAAGGTTGCATTTTTAAAAACGGCACATTTCTTTAGGGGTAAAATAGTGGAAATGGGGTATATGTGTGAGAATATCATGGGAGCACAGAGGAGGGAAACTGTGTAAGCCGTGACCACTGAAAGCTAGTGCTTGAATTATGGGCAGGAGGACGGCCTGCTTTTGTGGGGGTTGCCTAATTGTTTTTAAAGGGTAAGAGGGAATGTTTTAGCTAAAACTAGTGGGAATCATTAGATGGACTTCTGGATTTCATTAGGAGTCCTTCTGCCTTTCCCATCATACATTCAGCATTAACCTGTTTCACATTGATATCTCAGCTCACCATAGCTTAATTTACCCATGGAGATTATTGTATCATGCTTGGCATCTGTGGATTCCATTTTTGCATGGTGCCGATAGGATCTCAATATGTTTGAAGGTTAGACAGCCCTCAAATAATACACAGCTTATTTTAGGGTTATTTGAGGTTATTTAACCCTGCAACAACGACTGCTGTTTGGTTTCTCATTGTAGAACAGGCTACCAATGTGAAATGACTTCCCCATGAGTAAATTAAGCCATGGTAGACTGTAAGACTTTGTGAATGAAATCAATGAATGACATGATAAGCTGTACCCCAGTGATGATTATGGAAATAATTTCTTGCATGTGTAATGATTTAATTGTATTGATTGTTTATTTTGATGGTGTAAATTGACTCATTGATTCCATGTAGTCCTAGTATGATTTCTGAACAGATTTGCAGATTCTGTTCATAAGTTCTCAGGCTTCTTCCTAGAACTGTGAAACTTTTTGCTTTGGTGGAAGGTTGATTCTAAAGGCTAGATTCATTTGGACTAAAATAAGCAGTGCTGCTATCTACAAAATTCTGTGACATCTCAGTACCAGTATGTTTTATTCTAGCAGTGGGTGTATTTTTTGTTAATTTGCTTTTTATCATTTTCTAACAGTACATTATATTTTCTTTTTGTTTGTAGAGAGAAGGCAGAAGAAAATGCACTTGTGCATGAGTCACAGTTGAGAAATGGTAAAGTTCAGTTTAAACACAGTTAATCTAAAAGTGAAATATCCCAGAAGGCCCGGAGTGGCGGGGCGTGTCCTGATATTCTTTTCTCTGTTTTGTCCATTTCATTCAAAGCAGTTGGGGAACAAGAGGGTGGTTTGTATTCCTTGAATGTTCAGAGAACAGTTCTTCCCTTATTTAAAGAAACAGCAGCTGAGTTTAAATGAGTCTGAGCTATTTGACTGCTCTACAACTGGAGATACTGCCTTCCTTAATGTCATGATATTGATATTATTTCAGTCATATTTCTTGCAAGGCACATGATACCAAATTTTCTTCTGAAAATTATATTCTTGCCTTGTTAGGTCATATGAGAAGGAGGGGAACCTTTATACTTTCTAGCCAAATTCACTCTCTTTGGTAATAGAGCCTCTGACTTTACTGGAAGCACTACATTTCCCACGTTCATTCCTTTAGACCTATCCACCTTTTGCATCTAGGAACTCCAACTTGATAAAGACTGAGATAGGATTTTGGTTTTCTGGGTTTCCTATCATTTTAGTATTAAAAGCTGCAAAGCCCCCTTTTAAACATTGTTGTTTATCAGTGCACAACTACGTCTGGGGGTAGACAGGTTATTTAAAATATACAGACACAGTCTTCCAGATTCCAGGTATTTAAATTTTTGCAGATACTCACTGATGCCAGAGTTTTTGTTATGACTAGGCTGTAATCCTATTCATATGGAAGTACTGATAATACGTCTTATGAGAATAACACACTTAAGCAATACCATGTATCAAAACTTATCTACAGGTGGATGGACAAGTTCAGTTACAGAATATATGTGGGATCAAACTAGACACAAGATGCATGGTGCTTTTTACATGCCTATTTCTTCTAAGTAACAGCCATCAAGGGAAGAGATCAGGACTGTGTGTGTGTGTGTGTGTGTGTATGCACGCGCGCGCACACACACACACACATGTTGGGGGGCAGAGCAAGAGTGAGTTGAAAACGTAAGAAAAGTTGCTGAGTCAGACCAAAGGCCAATCTAGTTCAGCACTTCTGTTCCCACAGTGGCCAACAAGGTGCCTTTGGGAAGCCCATGAGGTCATTAGGGCAACTGGCATTCAGAGGCTTGCTGCCACAAACCCTGGAGACTGCATGTAGCCATTCTAACTGGTAATCACTGATATCCTTATCCTGCGTAATTTGACTCATTCTCTTTTGAAGTCATATGCATTAGTGGCTTTCACCTCATCTTGAAACTGCACATTCTAGGGTTTAACTATAGTTTCACTTAAGGTTACTCCTTTCCCCTTCCCATATTCCGAATACATATTATACATACAAACCCAGAGTTGCTGTCAACCATTATTTCATTACTGCCAACAGCTGAAATTCTCTGGGAGATGCTTCCATTGACACTTTCATGAACCTATTGGCAACTTCTGATGGAAGGATTTTTATCAGGACCACAGACAAGGAGAAAGAATAAAAAAACTTCTTCCTTGCATGCTGTATCCAAATCTTTAACCCCCTTCCCATCCTCAACATTTAGCATGTCCAGGAAAAACACTACATGGGTTAAATGCAATCATGCATTTAACCTCACCTTTAGTTTAACACTTCAGTAGATGAAAGGCATGGTTACCTTTTTAAGGCCTTTAAATATCCACAAGGAATGCAAAGCACACTACAAGTTACTAGAGAAAATAATTTGATGGAAGCCAGTTACTCATCTCACCATGGTACTTTGCTATTTGTTTTATTCAAGTTTTCAGTTGAAAAGCATTAGAATTAGTGTGAGTTGAAAGATAATGTAGTAAATGTAATAGCCAGCAAATTGTAGCTGAAATGTTTCAATTAAATAGCTGAAATCAAAAGATTGAATCTTATAAGTGTATAAGAAGAAATTGTTGAATGCATCCTGCAAGAGTGTGAATTCTGTTGTACTGTTACCACCATGTGGTTGGGACCTAAAAGACCTATTAGGGATAAAGTCAGTGTTCTGTTTGATTAACAGCAATACATCTTTATCTTATGGAAGGTTCTCAAGGACCAGGTTGTGGAACATGGTGGCTGCTGTGTCAAACAGAAGAAGAATGGAAGCAGGTTACAGAGAGCTTTCGAGAAAGAACATCTTTAAGGGAGAGACAGCTCTACAAGCTCTTGAGTGAAGACTTCCTGCCAGAAATCTGCAACATGATTGCACAGAAGGTAAGGCATAGTATTTGAATCCTTTGAGATAGCCTTAATTATTGAGAACAACCAAACAAATACGCTTCTTTCTTGAAAGAAGAAGAAAAAATTTGCAGGGCTCAGATTCTGAGGACAATTAATTAAAATTAACCACTTTGCTGGAATAAATTATCCAGAATGCATTTTAAAATGTATTAATTTACATACTTTTAAAACATGAAAAGTTGCTTCATGTGATGTTTTCTGTGGGAAATGCACTGATTAATGGAGGAGAAACCAGAACGTACACAGAAATAATCTTGTAGGTGCAATAGTTGTAGAGAAGAAAAGAGACAGGACTTGGTACTAGACAAACCTGTGCGTAGTAGAGGACATTTGGCTACTGCATTATTTGTCCAAGTCCTTGAAATTCTGAGGCATTTACATACTCTAACAATAAGTATTAAATATTTTCTTCACAATCTTGAAGATTTAGAAGAAGATCTTGAAAAATACTCTTTTTGCAACATTAATTCTGATAGCCATTAAACATTGGGGAAAAGTAGAAATAGGTTTGGCTGTCTAGAACTGCAGAGGAGATCGTTTGAAGAATAAAATTGCGTTCTTTATCATAGAAAAGGCCAGATTAGGAAAATCCATTGTTTTGTTTAGGAACAATTGGTAACCTCCATGAGAGTTGGCTGCAGATAAAGCTGTGATATTTAATTGAACTAAAATGAACAGAATAACCTGTCTTGAAAGTGTTTTAATAAATATGGATTGACTGGTGCATATGGATATACCTGTTCTCCTCTTTGAACACATTAAATTCTAGGTTGAACAGAACCATGTAAGGTGGGACTAATAGTGGTTAGAAGGAGTAGTGAATAGACAAGTAGATCACTTATGTTGTGGCATAGAGGTGGACTTGACTAGCTTTCTAGTTTCTTTTCAGCTTTCTAGTTCTGTAAGACTGGAGAATACTTCACCACAGTAGCTTTTTGGAGTCTGTTTTTTATTTAAATTTGTTCTTGATGTCATTTTAAATACCAGCTAATAGGAACAGCCCTAGCAATTGAATAATTAGGGCAGTTCTTTGGGTAATTTTTGTATGAGTCATAAGTCATTAAGACTTCATGGAACATAAATGAAAAATGTATCATGAAATGGTTTGCACACTGAAAATATAGTAGAAATTATTAACACTAAATAATAGATACTGACAGCAGGCACTTGGATGATTTGTGTTACATTTCTTCGTCATTTTTCTTTTTTTTTAAGGAAAAACGTTTGCACCGGATGGAGTTTTCTTCCAGATGGATGTCAGATCATCAGCACATCAAACCAATCCAACAGGAGGTAAGACACCTCTTCAGAATGGGAATTCCAGGCGTGATTTACTTGATATTTGTGCTATTTATGTTGCTTTTAACAGTAGGTTCTCTTGATGACCTACAGTGTAAAATAATACATTCAAAAACACATCACAGTAGTATACAATAATATGTGGCAATTAACACATCAATAAATCAGCAGAGATCAATTAAAAGCAAAGGAGCAGCAATATAAAAAAACACAGAAAAGGAAAAATGTTTTGCCTGGTACAAAAAGACATTGAAGTAGGCATCAAGTGAGTGTTTCACAAATGAGGAACCACTGCTGGAAATGCATTTACTTGCCATACCTCACCGGGCAAAGATCCTTGAAGAAGGTCCTCAGCTGATGGTCTCAGGGCTCAGGAAGGAACACACAGGAAGAGGAGATTCTTCAGAATTTAAGGTCCCAAGCCATGAAGTGCTTTAAAGGTCAAAACCGATACTCTGAACTGAGTCTGAAAATGAACCACAAGCAATTGAGGATGATACTATATTGTCATATGTTCATAATGCCTGGTCCCTGTTAATATCTGCAACCTTGTTTTGTACCAGTTGAAGTTTCCAGAGTGTTTTCAAAGGCAGTTCCATGTTCCACCCATTGTGATAATATAAAGAGGATACCAGGCCATGGATCATGGATAGCTATCTCTGTCCAGATAGTGTTGAGTATGACTATGGCACTCCAAGCTTCTAGTAAACAGTATGAGTTCCTTGTGTATTCCAGTGCAGAAGAAATTTTCATGTATAAATGGCATTAGAAATGGTAAATTGTAACATAAATGTGTAATTTTACAGGATAGTAGAATAGGCTAGCATTTCCAATAGGATAAACGTTAATAAAGTCCAGCAATCTATAAGAAAAACAAAAATGATAAACAGTGAAGTATCCTTAAAATGCTTTACCAATATTTGGACTTATGGTTGTAATTGTTAATTAAAAATCAATAAGATATTTAACCCTGAGATGCAAATCTTGTTGACTGCTCAGTAATGAATCAGTATTCAACACTGTGAAGGTGTGCAATATAATTACTTGAAGGAGAAATATTAAGTAAACAAAAACAAATCAGCATTTGTTGATTGTATAAACATTCACCCACCTTGCTGTGATAAGTCTAAACAAACTCTGGTATGCAACCCACTCCTTCTAGAACTCAGTGTACATAGTTGAATGGAGTCTACCTGGGTGCAATTACACAGTCTCATGATCTTAGATAAAATACACCTGTTTCTGGAAGGCTCCAGAGTTTGTTGGAGAGTATATCTAAATAACAGCATTGTGAAGACCAGGGAGCTATCAAAACAACTTCGAAATTAAGATGTGAAGAAACACCATTCAGTGCTGAATCATTTAAGATGCATGGAGCCAAATATAGGACATTTCTAGAAAAAATCTGGGTGTGCAAGAGATTGGGGTGGAGGCTCACCTTCCAATACAGTGATCCTAAATACATAGGCAAACTAACACTGTACTTAAAAACACAAATCTGAATGTTGTCTTCTTGTTGTTGTTAGTTATGAAGTCGTGTCCAACCCTTCGCGACCGCATGGACAACATTCCTCCAGGCCTTCCTGTCCTCCACCATCCCCCAGAGTCCACTTAAGCTCACTGCTTCAGTGACTCCCATCTAGCCACCTCATTCTCTGCCGTCCCCTTCTTCTCTTGCCATTTATTGTTCCCAGCATTAGGCTCTTCTCCAGTGAGTCCTTCCTTCTCATTCGGTGGCAAAAGTATTTGAGTTTCATCTTCAGTATCTGGCCTTCTAAAGAGCAGTCAGGGTTGATCTCCTCTAGGACTGACCAGTTTGATCTCCTTGCAGTCCAAGGGACTCACAGGAGTCTCCTTCAGCACCACAACTCAAAGGCTTTAATTCTTCAGCATTCAGCCTTCCTTATGGTCCAGCTTTCACAGCCATACATTGCAACTGGGAAAACCATAGCCTTGACTATATGCACTTTTGTTGGCAGGGTGATGTCTCTGCTTTTTAGTATGCTGACTAGATTTGCCATAGGTTTCTTCCCCAGGAGCAAGAGTCTTTTAATTTCTTGGCTGCAGTCTCCATCTGTGGTGATCTTGGAGCCCAGGAAAATAAAATCTGCCACTACCTCCATTTCTTCCGCATCTGTTTGCCAGGAAGTGAGAGGACCGGATGCCATGATCTTAGTTTTCTTAATGTTGAGTTTCAAGCCAACTTTTACACTCTCCTTCTTCACCCACATCAAGAGTCTCTTTAGATCCTCTTCACTTTCTGCCATTAGAGTGGTATCATCTGCATACCTGAAGTTGTTGATATTTCTCCCAGCAATCTTAATTCCAACTTGTGATTCATCCAGCCCCACCTTTCTCATGATGTGCTCTGCATATAAGTTAAATAGGCAGGGCGACAGTATACAGCCTTGCCAAACTCCTTTCTCAATTTTGAACCAATCAGTGGTTCCGTGTCCAGTTCTCACTGTTGCTTCTTGACCCGCATACAGGTTTCTTAAGAGACAAATAAGATGGTCTGTTACTCCCATCAATTTAAGAACTTGCCACAATTTGTTGTGATCCACACAATCAAAGGCTTTAGCATAGTTAATGAAGCAGAAGTAGATGTTTTTCTGGAACTCTCTAGCTTTCTCCATGATCCAGCATATGTTGGCAATTTGATCTCTAGTCCCTCTGTCTCTTCGAAATCCTGCCTGTACTTCTGGTAGTTCTCGGTCCACATACTGCTGGAGCCTAGCTTGTAGGATTTTGATCATAACTTTGCTAACATGTGAAATGAGTGCAATGGTGCGGTAGTTTGAACATTCTTTGGCATTGCTCTTCTTTGGGATCAGAATGTAAACTGACCTTTTCCAATCCTGTGGCCACTGTTGAGTTTTCCAAATTTGCTGGCATATTGAGTGTAGCACTTTTACTATGTCATCTTTTAAGATTTTGAATAGGATCAGCTGGAGTACTGTCACCTCCAGTAGCTTTGTTGTTGCTCAGACTTCCTAAGGCCCATTTGACTTCACATTCCAGGATGTCTGGCTCGAGGTCAGTGACCACCCCATCGTGGTTATCAGGGACGTTTAGCTCTTTCTTGTATAGTTCCTCTGTGTAATCTGGCCACTTCTTCTTAATCTCTTCTGCCTCTGTTAGGTCCCTGGCATTTTGGTCCTTTATCATGCCCATCTTTGGACGAAACGTTCCCTTCATATCTCCAATTTTCTTGAAAAGATCTCTGGTCCTCCCTATTCCTCAGCTATTTGTAAAGCTTCCTCAGACAGCCATTTTACTTTCTTGCATTTCTTTTTCTTTGGGACGGTTTTAGTTACCTCTTGTACAGTGTTGCGAACCTCTGTCCATAGTTCTTCAGACACTCTGTCTATCAGATCTAATTCCTTAAATCTATTTGTCACCTCTACTGTATATTCATCAGGGATATGATTTAGGTCATACCTGAGTGGCCTAGTGCTTTCCCCTACTTTCTTCAATTTAAGCCTAAATTTTGTAACAAGAAGCTCATGATCTGAGGCACAGTCAGCTCCTGGTCTAGTTTTTACTGACTATATGGAGCTTCTCCATCTTTGCCTGCAGAGCACATAGTCAATCTGATTTCTGTGTTGACCATCTGGTGATGTCCATGTGTAGAATCGGGTTGTTGGAAGAGTGTTTGCTATGACCATCGTATTCTCTTGCTACCAGCCTGTGCCCTGCTTCATTTTGTACTCCAAGGCCAAACTTGCCTGTTATTCTGGTTATCTTTTGGCTTCCTACTTTAGCATTCCAATCTCCCATGATGATAAGGACATCATTTTTTGGTGTTAATTCTAGAAGGTGTTGTAGGCCTTCATAGAACCGGTCAACTTCAGCCTCTTCAGCACCAGACTACTGTGGACTACTGTGATGTTGAATGGTTTGCCTTGGATTCGAACTGCGATCATTTGGTCATTTTGGAGATTGTATCCCAGTACTGCTTTTCCTACTCTTTTATTGACTATGAAGGCTACTCCATTTCTTCTGAGGTATTCTTGCCCACAGTAGTATACATGATGGTCATCTGAATTAAATTCACCCATTCCTGTCCATTTTAGTTCACTGATTCCTAAGATGTCGATGTCCAGTCTTGTCATCTCTTGTTTGACCACATCCAGCTTGCCTTGATTCATGGATCTTACATTCCAGGTTCCTATGGAGTATAGATCTTTGCAGCATCGGTCTCTCCTTTCACCACCAGATACATCTGCAACTGAGTGTCTTTTCGGCTTTGACCCAGTCACTTCATTCTTTCTGGAGCTACTAGTACTAGCCCCCCGCTCTTCCCCAGTAGCATATTGGACACCTTCCGACCTGAAGGGCTCATCTTCTGGCGTCATATCTTTTTGCCTTTTGGTACTGTCCATGGGGTTTTAATGGCAAAGATATTGGAGTGGGTTGCCATTTCCTTCTCCAGTGGATCACGTTTTGTCAGAGCTCACTGCTATGTCCTGTCCGTCTTGGGTGGCCCTGCACGGCATAGCTCATAGCTTTGCTGAGGCAGAAACAAAAAGCACCATACACATAATACAGTATTCTGTGTATTAGTTTTCAAATACAATACAAAAAAAAGAAAAAAATTCTTCAGAACAACCAGAAACCAAGCAACAAAAAATGCAAACAAGAGAAAAAAATTGGTGCAGTGTGGCTCCAGCTGGCTCTCACTGAGCCTTCTCTCTCCTCCATGGTCCCCCTGGCAGCATCGGCACACCGCTCACAAACATGATGCCAACTGAGGAGCACAGCTGATGGAGCACAGCCAACCTCTGCGCTGGTCTGCGACTGGTGGGATGCACTCCCCCACTGACCCACAGGAAATCTCCTGTGGACGGGTGCCAGTCCACAGACTGCTGGTTGAAAACCACTGCTATTGAGAATGTGTGGCTAGATTTGAACAATGTTGTTCACCAGCAGCCCCCATCTAATGTGACAAAGCTGGAGCAGTTTTGCCAGGAGGAATGGATGAACACTGCAGG